GTACTCCCTCCGCTTTCTAATAGTTCTTCAACCATGGTCAACTCGTAGGCAAACCTGTAACCGATCAAATCCCTGCAAGTCAACACGTGTTAAACCAACAGTGATCAATAAGAAAGGCTATCATAGAATACCAGTAATTCTCTGTAGAATAGAAATACTAACAGTATTAATAATCGTCGAAGAAGGTCAAAAGTAGAGCAAAATATGCACATTTGATTTTGCCTCCTAAAAACAAACAGAAACCTAAAAAGTCAGAAAAAAAATAATAAAGCAAAACAGTAGTGATACTACATGTGAATAACTGTGTTTTATTTTCTTCCTTTTTAAACTGTAGCAAGAAAGTAGTTTGTGTATTCAATGTTCTGCTGTAATTACTAATATTATTGTTTGTTTTCTCCCTCCTTCCCTCCTCTGCTGTTGTTGAAATGTTTGACAGTGAATGAATTCATAAATCAAAATGACAATTTTGACAGGATCTGACTCGACAAGTATAACAAACACTATATATAACTTGATGATAGGAAATATGCCTTCCTATTCACCCTATACATTCTTCCTCTCGTCCCCCTCCTCTTGTTCCTTCGTGTTCATCACACCTTCATACGTGTACATAGAGACGTATCCAGTATAGAAAGCATTTCTCTGTGTGTTTCTGTTAATATGTATACGTACAAATATATGTATGCATAGATATATATTAACCATCAATGTTTATTCATCAAATATCCTCAAGTCTATCGAAAATTAATTCTTCTCTAACTTGTTCTCCTTGTTTCAACACTCTCTATACGATACACAGTGTAGATGTTTGCATATTTGAAATAATAATTTATGATGAGATTGAAAATAAATTATATAAATATATATATATATATATATATGTAAACAGGTAGAAAAGAGAAAATTTCAAGGAAATAGTATTACTATTATTATTTTTATTTTTATAAGCAATAAAGATATACCAGGGGTAAATGGAAAGAAGAAGGCTAGTTGTGAGTGGATAACAGTAATAATAATAATGCCTCTGGATTCAGTATGGATTACAGGTTTTCACTATGAGTTGACATAAGTACTGGACAGCTGTTTTGTCCTAGTACCTGAGACTCTTCAGCAGCACTCATGTACTGATTGGTGTGGGGTGTGTGCGTGGGTGGAGGTGTTGGATCCAGGACCTTTCCTGCTACAAAGTGAGCTCGTAAAGCATTCAGTCACTGGTTAGCCCATGATATCCAACTTATGCCAGTTTGTGAGATACATGGCACAACTGGGACAATATGGACCGACTATAAAAGAGGTCAGTTCTCGAGCATTTGGTGAACTCAGGCCATGTAGCTCCACCAGAGTCGTCTTTCAAGATTATCCACAAAGTGAAGCCAAATGCTACAAAGGGCGTCAGGTTTCGGCTTTTGTGTATGGCGGAGGCACTGGCAATTCGTGAATACAACCCTGAACTCTGTGTCCATACCCGTCAAGGCATCTTGTTGTTGCAAGGGGACAGCTTCGCACCACTTCGTGAAGTAGTCGGCCATGAAGAGTATGTATCGATTACCGCGTCTCGACGTTGTTAATGGCCCCATAACATCTACCCCGACTCGGTGGTTGGGATCTTCGGTAAGCATAGGTACTAACGGTGCTCGGGAAGGTAGTTTGGGCTGTTTGATCTGTGCACATGTAGCACAGTTGCGGCAGAATTCAGTAACGTCGTGATGAAGAAGTGGCCACCAAAATCTTTGACGGACGGCGTGTTCGGTATTTTGTTGGCCAGCGTGACCAAGCTGGTGGTGCACAAGGTGAATCACCTTCGGAACTTTCAACCGGGGAACAAGAAGACGGGGTGACGAGGATGGCTCCACTGTATACAAAACATCGTTGATTAGTCGTAACACGCCCCATTTGCCACAGATGCATCGTGTTGTATCTGACACACTCCGTAGTTCCTTATTCGATGGTTTATCGTTCCCATGGAGCTGTCGCGAGTAAACAGGCTGAATATCTGTATCAGCCGCCTGCAGTGCGGCCCAATCCACATCGATACCCGTATTTTGTCCATTCTCTTATTCTATCTTGGTCTTAACCTCTTCACTAGTCGTTCCATGTATTAAAACAATTTTGAAAAAATGTTGATTTTTTCTTTTCCTTTTTAATTTTTACTTTTAGTTTGCTTTTGCTTTAATAATTAATTAACTATTATCACTCTCATATGCTCCTTCTATACATTTCACACCCTCTTCACGCTTGTTAAATTGACGCTCAACTACCGCCTTTATTCTCACTCAGTAGCAATTCAAAACCCTTTGTGTCGTTGAGTACCACGTAATTTACAACTTGAAATGACACTATAGATCCTCTAATGGAACTTGAATGGGAAGTAAAGAGTTGGGCTTGAGTCCCAAGGTAACACAGAGGACACCATGTGAAGAAGTCGAAGAAAGAGAAACGAACGCTTGTTCTCAGTCAGTGGAATAAAAAAGTGCCACTGAAGCTCTGATTTTCATTCAGAATAAAACGAATGATTGTGTAACTTCCCTAACCAATTATGAATATGTTTCATATAATGAAACTTCAGATGTGTTACTGTCATTATTATTATTATTACTATAGCTACAACTTACAAATTCAGTAGTGGTGTAATTATTTTTCATTCCTTGAGTTCTCAGTGGAGCATAAGGCTTCAGGTTCGAGACCTTGAAGCTGCATTAACTGTGGTCTTGTTTTTACACGATGAGGGCACCAACCTCACACCCAACCTTCTCACTTTCCTCACGCTTACTATTGCTGCTAGCATAGACAAGTTTCTTTGTTAGCCGTAAAGTCATGGTTTATTCATGTACTGACATGACACACTGATTAGACAGTTTTGATTCGCTTATTTATGGCTTTAATTTCTGAGGGTTTGGTAAATATAATATATTATGTATTTCTTCTAATAAATGTTACCGCTCCAGTTGTCATTTCTCCCAGTCTGACTTTTGTGTCTATCTCAGTGTGAAAGATCATTTCAAGTGATCGGTTGGTTATTGGGTCGTGTTCCGGAGGCTCATTCCAGTCGAGTTAAACGGACCCACAACCCAGTATCACTCTGTCATAACAATTTGCCAGTAAACTAGGCGAGATTTGAAGAGTGTTTCAGCCGAGAATTGAACTCCGACTGATGTGTAATTACGTATTAATAAATACAAGTAAAAAAAGGTCCATATTGGTCGTTTACAATCTTAGTGTTTCTGTATCCGCTAGCATAAATATCTGCAAACTGAAGTCAATTGATAAAATTACCAAATTCAAAAGCAATAAGAAGTTTGCGTACGACGCCGTTTTCCACGAACAGAGTATCAGGACCACAGGTATTATTTCTACAAATTCAAACAGTCTACACCTAGTTATACTGAATGGCTTCAGTTAATATTAACCCAGTTTTCCTAATATCTACCTATAAGGTTTGGAGGGAGTTCATTTGAAAAAATATATGTGGCCTGGTTTGACTGCAGCCTCCAAACTTCCATTTCTTTTTCATGTGGCCTTCTGCATGTCACCCTCGGATGCCAAAATCGTCGCTTCCAATTAGAGTTCCACTAGGGGGTCTGGAGTGTGACGTTAGTTGAATGTCTTCGCAGGGAATGTTTGACCCACCTTCTTCAGCGTATCTGTCTGGATTTCGTCTCTTGCCTAGTTCACTGCCTGTCAGAATTCCTCGTTGCTTATTTTTTCTGGACGGCTAACTGATTTTCAGTATCGAGACTGCCAAGACAGGCATTGATGGAAGTCTGCAGTGGCCTTTTGAAAATGTGTGCTACCGACACGCACACAATCTCTAAACCATACGGATGTACTGACTTGGTATGAGTTTTTAAAAATCACATTTCCCTCCTTGTATTGTGAGTCATCACAGTGATTACACAGTAATGCACTCCTGTCTTGCTTATCCAATCCGATATTGGCTGACTTTGAAATCCTCATTCGTGACGCCTGTTGTTGAGATGATCCTCTCCAAAAAAAGTGGGCGAGACGACTTTACTCAGATTTCCTCCACTGATGCCAGTTATAATTGTCGTTGTGGTTATTGATTATAGAATTCACACTTCTTCCGTCCTCTTTATTTTTCAAAAGAATAGACACGGAACAAAGAGTACTCTTTCCGATAAATTCATCATTAGATTCTACAATATTATATACATTATAATGAATGAGTGAATTAGTCTTATGAACGACATTACTGTTTAAATAACATCAAATCAATAATATTGATAAATTACAGCTGAACAGCATCAACATAAAATAAACTGAATGTCAGAAGAATTAGGAAAGGTAATAGTACAAATTCATGAGTTTATAGTTTCTACTGAGGGCCAGGGCAATAGTAGTGGCTGGACTCGTTTCTTTTGGACACAGAGCACTGGTTGTTTGAGGCGAATTGCAATAGCCTCTGCTGTTTGGAGCAAGCGGTGCTTCGACGATTTTGGTAGTTTGTTAGGCACCCGGTATATTGTGGAGAAGGATTCGTCTACGCTGGATTTGTGACCGGTTTGCACCAGATGGTCTAATATCGAGCTGTTAACAGTTTTAACTACACCTTTACTTAGCCACATTGGGATATGTTCTCGAGCACAAAAAATGAAGTTCCTAGAGCAACGGCCAACATAACTCGCTCCAAAAGTGCAGTTGAATTGATAAATACAATTTGAAGTGGCTAGTCTATTTTTTATTTTTACCTGAAGTTATGACTTCACTGACAATTCTGCCAACTTGTTGATTTTCGTTCATATGTCCTCTAGTTTCCCACGACATGAGGCATGAATCATACATCGAGTCTAGATCTTCTGCAGTCTTATAGTCGGTACAGTGTATACCGGTCTTCGTATTCCGCTCATGGTCTGCCACATGATCCGGCCCCCAGTAATCAAGTATCGCTTAACAAGCCAAAATTATTTTATAATACCTTTAACTACTTATAAGTAGTATGAATAATAAGCAGAAATTTCACGTTTGTTTCTTATCATTTTTAGGTTAGATACAATTGCAAAGCTATTACATTCACACCCACTAACTTTATCGGGAAATTCACGTACATTACAAAATCCAATCATTGAAATATATAATGAAGGTGATAAGCCACCTTCATTCACAATGGATAACAATATTATCCCTCCGTGGAATAATATACCTGAAATAAATTATCAGAATGAAAGACAAGTTCTAGCCTATATGAATCGTGAAATGTATAACAATCCATCAGTGTATGGATGGAGAAGACAAAGTTACGATGTAAGTTCGCTTACTGATATCTTATCTGTATAATGTTTAAAAAATAGGGTTTGAGTAAATTTTTTCAGGTGTCGAACAATTTCATTTATTCAAATTAAAGATTTGGATTAATTTCACAATGTAGACTTTGGACAAAGCCATAAGAAGACGTAATTTATCTGAATCGTGTGTAATGTGTATTTGCGTAGCACATTTCGAACAATCTGGTCCATTACACACGGACTTATCATCTGAGTACATATATATGAAATTAATAAAGAGTTAAGAGGTGAGAAAATAGACAAGTTAGGTCAAGTTAAAAGGACATATTGAAGGTCAAAATAACAATGAAGATCACTGAACCAAAGAAGGGAGGTAATAGTACATCTGTCATGGTATCAAAACAAAGTTTACCAAGGAAGGCTTAGTGTGATGATGACAGAAATTTTGCCTTGAGTCCATAGAGGTAGGTGGTTTAACCTTCCTTATCGCCAGCTAGGGCTTCCACAAACTTTAGGATACGCCCTCCCCAAACAAGTTCTATGGATAAGTCTAAAAGATGTGTAAACATCAGTTTTATGTCCTGTTTCGTAATCGAGGAGCTAGATCACCCGCTCTCACCATTAATGGGTTCTGGGGATTCTGCTTGCTTCTGAAGCCAGCCCTAACTTGCAGAGTTCGATGAGTTCTCCCTATGTATGTGTGGACACATCCACATTCAAATTGGTAAATACATTTGGATGTGACATCATATAATCCGCAGAACCAGTCAGCTAGACAATCAATGAAAATCGCCAGTGAGACAGCCATCTTGTCCTGGTGGGAGACTCTCCAAAAGTGAATAACCATAACCTCATCCGGATTCTAACCTAAAACTTCCACTAGGCTGGCCCTCTCACCATTCACTTAGAATTCAATAAGTGGTTAACTCCATCTCCTGTCAATTCGTATTATACTGCTACCATCAGTCACTGATGTAACTGAGCGTACACCTCACCTTGACATGGTGGAGTCCGTCGTCTCCTACTTTAAGTCATCCATCCAGTAGCCCCTAGTGAGCTGGATATCGATATTCAACATATGACGTCGCTTCCTTCACTTATCTAGGCAGCCAGCATCATTTCCACTACACACGGCAGAATGGATGAAAATGTCAAAGCTGACCAGAATCGGAAAGGAAAGAGTCACATTGATCACACTGAAATCAGTTTGGACTGAAGTCTTTTGCACTCAGCATAAGCAGCAACAAAATTCGGATTTTCAACATCATCAATGTTAATTCAGTCATCTTTTCTATATGGGTGAGAAACTTGTCATGCGTGACACAAAAATAATTTCCAACAGGTTACGAACTTTTTTCCGCAGCTGCCTTCGCCATGCCGATACTGAAGACGAGATGGCCGGCGGGCCAGAGAAAGTTAGCAACAAGAAACTCTTGCAACAAACCACTCAAGAACTGATTGCTCAATAAATATGCCGAAGAAAGTGGAAAGGAATAGGACACATACTGAGTGGACCGTTGAGCGATATCTCGCACCTGAAAGACGCTTGAGTGGGACTCGAATGGGAAACGACGAGTTGGACTTTGCTCCAAGCGTGTCATGGAGGAGATTATGTGAGGAGGAGATGAGAGACTAAGGGGAATCATGAGGCGAGCTAACGAGGACCGCAGAGAATAACACAAAGTGGAGATGTCCTGCTGATAACTTATGTTCCACTCAGAACCCAACAGAATAATAATCATACAGTGTTGATTCACTCATGAAGTTAACAGAAGATGGAATCCGCGGGTCACTGAATCCCAATCAAGCGGCTAAATGGTCAACAGGCTCACCTTTTAGCCTGAAGACCCTGGTCTTGACTCTTTTTAGGGTGATAGGTGTGCGTTGTTGAACAGCTACCGATGAAGTTGGTTAGTGACAAAATTCACAGTGAAATTCTACCTTACATTAACCCGGCAAGTTAATTTTTATAAGGAGTTTTCAAACTATGAACTGATCAAACTATTTTTAAATCACTCAACAGTGTCACTTTGTTTAAGGTGCTAATGTCTCTTAGTGGTTTGAAAGTTTAATACTGTAATTACTGAGGCTATTCACCTGAACAAGGGGAAATTATTTTAGTTTCCTAATAAGAATTGTGTCTGTGAAGTTATACGACGAGTCACTAGTCGGAAAGCTGAAAAAAGCATTAGATAAGAACAATAAAAACTACTTTGATTGGACACTAGTTAGTAACTAGTGTAGTGTGTATAGTCCTTTCTTTGGTGCAGACTGAATTCTATCGATCAAGTTTGCAACGTGGCCACCGTCAGGCTAGGTGGCGCGCCATCACGGTACACTTTGAATTGTTGATATTAGATGGTTGGAGGCAATCGGCAGGAAGCCATGGACCTAGGTTTCGTGCTAGTTAGCACTCATCAGTCAGCGAGGCATAGCGTCGGTGGCATAGCGGCTAGGATGCTCGCCGACCATGCACATGGTCCGGGGTTCGAACCCCGGCCGACGCACTCCTTTACCTCACTTAGCCAGAAATAATGCTAGTGAAGAGGAAAGGTTGGGCATGAGGCTAGCAACCACATCCTGTAAAATAAACAGTGCTACAGACACTTCAAGCCACTAGCTTGAAGCCCTATGTTCCACTGGGAATGTGAAGGATAAAAAAAGTCAACGAGGCGTATCTGCACCCTTGAAGGAACTCATGTTACCTTCGAAGATTCTAAACCCGCGTCACTCAATGCTGCAGTCAGAATCGTTATCACTGAGCTATTCGGGTTCAGAAGGGATATGAGTTCCTTCAAGATTGCAGATACGCCTTGCTGACTGGTGAGTGTCAACTAGCACGATACCTGGGTCCCGGCAAGGCTTCCTGCCGCTTATCTCCAACTGTCCAGTAACAATAAAGAGTACCTACAGGTTATACAGTTGTACATAAGGAATGAAGCCTTCCCTTCAATATCATATATTTGACTATGCCATGAAATAACAAGAACACAAGGACTACTGTTTGATTGCAAGTTCAGCTTCTTCTTCACCCCAATAGATTATCTGTACATAATGGAGAAGACGTGACGTTCAGGTGGATGATACTGAATTAGCTATGTTCTCTGAGCTGTTAGACGACTTAAAAGTAAAGCTTTTGTAGTCATTCTAGACATCATCTTCAGGGCAAGTCTTAGTATAATACGAACTCTGTTAAATTCTCCATAAATGACGCAATTGTATCTCTTGAAAATCCCCTTTATTATGATTGGTTGTTAATTTACATCTATACTGATCATTTTTCTTTACTTGGAATTCGAACTTTCTTGTCATGTGATCTACTTTTATTAGCTGATAAATTTGGTCTATAATAAAGTGTTTGTTAATTGCTGGCGGGTTCACTTGACTACCAGGCTTCTAGGAATTCCCTCACTGTACTTTTGGTGCTCCCTCTGTTTAAAATTTCTACACTATCCTAATCAAATTGGTGTCCATAATTATCTAAATGCATTGATATTAAAGAATATATATAATGTCATTTTACAACCAGTTTGTGTTCTTGGATTCGGATTTTAAAGGGACGCGCGCTTTGTAATGTTTACTGCAGTTCATACAGTTTATTTTGTAAATGGTATTAATTTTATCTTCTTTTTCTGTTGGAATGGTCTTTCGGTTTGCACAATGGCGAATGAAGTGGTTGTGCTGGCTGGCTGGCTTTGTTTGCTATATCTATTTCATATAAAAGAAAAGAAGGCGTTCAGCGAAGAGACTCTTTTCGGCGAATTCATTCACTGAGCTGTACAATCGCATTTATATGCAATTTTGTTTGTGTGTGTACATTAGATTTATAAAGTTCAGATAATAACGTAATATAAGTATTATTTGGCTTGGAAACAAACGTTAATTAGATAGAAAATAAAATAAAATTGATCAAGTGAATTGGATGACGTAATACAATTGAGTAGAATTCAGAGTAGGTCAGGTTGTCAACAGTGTTAATGAGTGGTGGTTAAAATTAAATAAGGGTGGGGGTGGAGAATAATACAGTTGAAAATAAGTAAGTTAATCGGATGACGTAACATAGTTGACTAGAAATTGGACGTGGGTCAAGTTAGCAACATTGTTAATCAAGGTAGAGATTACAAAAGGGTGGGGTAAGGAATAATATAAATGAAGATGTGAAATAATAAAATGCAAGAGACAAAATAATACAATTAGTAAGACTGAAATTAAGAAAGATTACGTCCATTGTAGATTTAATGAATGAACGAATTTCTTTTGTATGCAGAGTTCAGGATTTAGCAGATGAATTGTCATTGCTTCTGCGATGTGGAGAAGTTTGACCCATACACTTTTAGCAAGATTGCCTTGTATTCTGTAGATAACTTTGAAGTTTATTTCTGGTTTGACTTGGTGTCCAGAGTCGATCAAATGTTCAAGGATCGAGCTGCGGGGGCATCGGTTTTCTCCTTTATAAAACCATGAAGGTAAAGGTTCGTTGACGCGTTTGGATAGCGAACGCTGAGTACAGCCGATATACCTGGCTCCACACGAGCAGGTGAATTGGTAGATGCACATAGATGAGGCCAACAGCGGTAGCTTATCCTTCACGTTCATACGAATCATTGGTCTCGCGGAGAACGTCAGTCGTAATTCAGCTGCAGAGAAGGTTTTCTTCAGTGAGCGGGAGAGCCGATTTCTCAGTATTTCTGTAGATTGGTCTCCATTCAACTGTAGGTTCATATAGAGAAGTTTTTTTGGAGCACTGGGTGCGGGCGGCTTCTCTGGTCTGGGTTTCATTGATTTTGTGATAAATCTTTCTGGATAGCCATTTTCAAGGAGGATTTTCTTAAGAGTGTTCATTTCATCTTCTATGGCGTCCAGGCTGCAAATTCTACGTATTCTCTGGCTTAGTGAACGGATTAAGTTTCGTTTAGTATATAGAGGCACCCAACTGTGGAAGTTAGTGAGCTGTCCGTTCCACGTTGGCTTTCTGTTGATGGATCTTTTTAATGTTCCGTCTTGTTGGCGTCTCGTTAGTTGAACGTCAAGAAAAGATATCTTTGAGTTAGACTCTTTCTCTAGTGTGAACTGAATCGCAGGGTGGCAGTTGTTGAAGAACTTCAGGATATCTTCTAAATTCTCTTCGTTGTTGCAGATGATGAAGGTGTCGTCGACGTATCCATTTCAAACTGTGTTAATATACTAGCTGTTATTTCAGAGATATTTTTTTATGGATGGTAGAATGAATTTTCTTGTAGTCTTTTATGATGGTTTCTTGTTGGTTTTGGGACTTGGGTTTAAACATTTTTCACGGCAGTTGTGAAAGTATCCATTCTTTTTGAAGACAGTATTTTTCTTCCATTCTATTCAACACACGAGTAGTGCTACAATGTGTTTGAATTCTTTTAAACAATGTCTGCACACAGTTTCTTTTGTGGGTAATTCGGTTGAGTTATTACTATTATAAGGCGCCGGTGGCATAGCGGTTAGGACGCTCGCCGACCATGCACACGGTCCGGGGTTTGATCCCCGGCCACCGACGCACTCCTTTACCTCGCTAAGCCAGAAATAAAAGCTGGTAAAGAGCGAAGGTTGGGCATGAGGCTAGTAACCCCATCCGGTAAAAATAAACACTGCTACAGAAACTTCAAGCCTCTAGTTTGAAGCCCTATGTTCCACTGGGAACGTGAAGGAATAAATTATTACTATTATAGTTGAGTATTTGGTCTGTGTGAGCTTTGATTTTCTAAACACCTGTGTTTCTAAATTTCTTGTGTTAGTTCTCTTGTTTAAGACATTTAAGAATAAAATTTCGGTGTCTAATTCTTCTCCTTCTCTTGTGAATTCAATGTCTTCAAATATGTTGTTTATTAATTTGTGGCTTTATTCCAAACCACTTCCTTTAACTATCATAAATGTACCATCAACGTAACGTAAATTAACAACCACTCACGACAGTGGTTGTCAGAAGACACAGTTACATCATTCATGGGGAATTCAAATGAGTTCATATTATACCAAAACCCACGCTGAAGGAGGATGTTGTCTAGAATGAAGACAGTGAAAGCTTCACAATCAAATCAACTGACAGCAGTACACAGAGCGCAACTAATTCTATATGTGTACATAGAGAAATTAAAGTGCCTCAGATAAAGAGTAAAATCACCTTCTTCTAATCGTCTTCTTAAGACACACTATTAATATGAAGGCATTCACTCGCCTGTGTTTGTGTTATTTAGGAGAACTAAATAACATAAATCAGAGATCATCAGAATACTGCATATATAGTAGCTTGTCAACCCATTTCTTCTACACTACAATCAATCTATCTTTCTTCTATTTTACAGCCTATTGCACAGAGTACAGCATGGATAGAACATCATGTTCGACAGCGAATACAACGTTATAAACAATGGCTTTCACCAAAACAATGGAAACAATTTTTAACACACGATACTCCTACTTCTACAATTATCAATAACAGAGACAGTAGAATTAATTCTCCGGCAAAATTTAACTTAGCTTTATTCGAGGCTGCTGTCGTCGGTGTACGACGTGCTGTCGCTGAGTGTCGTTATCAATTTAGACATGAAAGATGGAATTGTAGCCAGGTACCTGATGATGAAACAGCTCTGTTTGGAAATATTTTACTGAAAGGTAAGAAGAGAAATATTTTTTTGCAATAATTATCGTCAAAACTGACTATCTTTCAACAACTGGTTGCATCTGTTCAGTGACCATTGATCTCAGTAGCAGGCCTCTAGAAATTCATTGACATTTTTCCCAATAGAATTGGTGCAGTTTGTAGTTGTCAGAATTCATTGATGTGAGAGAATGGACATCGTGTCTTTTGACAGTCCGTTTGTGTTTTTGGATGAGAAGACAAAGAGAACGTTCACTTTTCACATTTGATGCAGTTTATCTCATATAGAATGTTGATTTTGTTTTCTTCTGCTGTTGAGTCCTTTGGTTGACATTGAAGTGATTTTGTTGATGTGTGGGAGATATTTGTTCGAAAAGAATTCAGCAGTCTTGCAGTAATTCCAAAGATATCCTTCATATATGCAGTGAGACAACTTTCTTCCTGCTTCCATATTCAACCTTCTTTCTTCTCCGAGATTACTACTACTGCATAGTAAACTGCCCGAGATTTTGGAGTACATCAAGTGGGAATCAAACTCCTAAACAAGTCCGCTGTTCCAGAGAATTCTGCCAGTGAATCAACGACGAACAACACTTTATGTTCACTGGTCCTAAACTGTTTTGTAAACGAAAGACTAACGTGCGGAAGTACTGGAGGGGTTTTTAGAAGAAGGCATCAATGAGGATAAGATTAGAACTGGTAGTTTCCTCACAGTCACTATGACACTACACCACCTAAGCAGCCATCCCCGTTTAAGTCAATCAAAAGCTATTTCCATTTTCAACACGAACTGGCTTCAATTAGAGAACCATTGAAAACCAAGAAGTGCTGGAGATCAGTTTCGTCTTTGTCTTGAATCCCTCAGTGAAATGCATCTGCGATTCTAATTATGTTCTAAACCAGGCCCTCTAGGTTAAAAAGCTACGTTCAGGCAGATCGCAACCCTACTGGCTGAATAGTTAACTAACTCATCTTGTAACTTGAAGCTCCTGTATTCCATCCCTGTTGGGGTCATAGGTGCGTACTGCCAAATAGTTCCTAACAATAATAGAACAGCTCTCCAAGACTCACTGGTTTTCAGTGGTTCTCTAACTCAAGTCCGTTCATAAGCAATTTCGGAATCACTCGATTCCATCTAAATCAACCTTTGGGAATTAAAATATTCTCCAGATCGCATAGTTCCAGCAGATATCTTTGTGGTTGGTCATTGAAGCACAGATTAACACTGTTCTAGTCAGCTGTAGTTCATTTATATTCAAATGTTGGTTTGTAGGGATTTGATTGGTTACAGGATTTTAATCATGAGCTGACATTAGTTAGAGAACCATTGGAAAACCTGCAGAAAGTACTCGACAGTTGTTCCGTCCTAGTTTGGGACTCTTTATCAGTACGCATCCACCGGGATTCGAATCCAGGACCTTCTGGTTACAAGGCGAGCTCGTATACCATCAAGCCACTGGGACCCGATCCAATGGCCCATGAATTCTAACTTCTACCAATTCACGACATAGCGCGACCCCTAGTTCATTTACTTCGGCATCTGAAGTATGTAATTATGCTTGTAATCTGAACAGTTTTTATAGGTCTAATTTGGATAAAAATTTTCGCATAACTTCCCATTTCACTTTGCCTTGTACTTTTTTGAAAGGTATACCACAGACTGCATTTGTCTATTCAATTATCAATGCTGGAATAGTCCAGTCAGTAGCTGAAGCTTGCTTAAATCAAATTGATAATTGTCCATGCAATAATCGTGGTCGACAAGAACCATATTCCGACTGGCAGTGGCAAGGATGTGATCATAATATACATTATGGACGACGATTTTCACGACGTCTATTGGATACCATGGAACGTGGATCACATATAAGATTTGAAATGAATTTACATAATAATGGTGTTGGTAGACAGGTAAGTTCCAATTCTGTTTTAATTTTCGAAATTCTATTATACTACTTATATGTGCATTTAAGTAGATAATATATTCTGTGCAACGATATTCTTTGTTGTTTACACCGAATTTTGTGTGCCTTCGTGTGTAGGCAGAATAAAAGGTATTCTCAAATTTAGTGTATAAAGTGGTTGAATATCTGTGGGTATATTTTTCTCCTTCCTTTGCGTTCCTCGTGGAACACATGGGTTCAAGTTACAGTAGAGTCGGTGTTTCTTTTGTGGGTTTGGAGTTGCCAACCTTTGGCTCAAACTTTCCAATTTATCGGACTTACTATGGGCTAAGCGAGATTTAAGAGTGCATCAGCCAAGAATCAACCCCAGTGAACCACAGGGGCACATGCCTGGGGCATTGAGGTTATATAAATGCCTGTTGTTTTAAATTCTGTTTCGCAGTAATCCGCTTAGCCTTACATATTTTTTACAAAACACTGTTCTCAAGCTTTTTCCTGCAACCGAAGATGGAAAAAATGAAGGGGATGAAAACAAAAAAAGAAAACTAAGGAGTTATACCGAACTAGATCCAAGGTAAATGTTGAGGTCAGAGTAGTTCCTTCTGAACACATAACTCCGGCTTTTCGATGCATATGGCAAGAGCTTCTGCAATACAAAGAAGTCAAAAACACACTGTCATATTTGAAAACATTGTCAACACCTGAGGCAACATCTCAACTGTCTCATCATTCAGAGTCATTTACAAAGTAAACAGAAATCTATCAAGGGCAGTGTTGTTCCGATTTCTTTGTACTACAGAAGCCCTTGTCACGTTCTTTGGAAAGCCTGAGTTATGTGTTCAAAAGAGACTGCTCCAACCTCAACATTTCCACATGAATCTAGTTTGGTCTAACCCCTTAGTTTCCACTCATTTTCTTTTTCATTCTCTTCATTTTTTCCATCTTCGTTCATAAAGAAATTATTATTTCAACTTGTTTTCATGTACATCCCGGTTACACCTGTCTTCATTAAGAACTGTATTACATGTTACACGATTATTTTCTAACCCTATGTAATTTGGTTTCTAAGCCCCTTGTAATCTAAATTCACACTTTAAAACATAACACGACATCCACTCCCTCATTTCGCTGCATACATACAATTACGGACATCAGTTCGACTGAGACAATGTTCAAATACTCGACACAGGAAACACCAAGAATGCCAGAGAATTTTTAGAGGTCTGATATTCCAATGAATCGTCAATTAATAGACACACTGATATAGATGAAAATTACCAATCGATAAGAACGAAATCTCATACACGAAAGGTCAAGGAAACAGTCAGTACCCATACAAGTAGCCTAGAGAGTGTGAAAACACACAAAAGTAACCAATCACGTTCAAGGTCACCTACCAGCTGATATGATTAATAAACTCGTAGAGAAACCCGAAAGCTCACTTCAATTTGAAGTAAATGCGCTGAAGGAAGATGTTGCTTAGTAGGGCAGTGAAAGGTTCTCAAATAAACCATTTAACTCAGAGAACACAAATACATCAAAAACACTTTAGAACTTTCTCATCAAGTTGAAAATTATCACCTTTAATCTCCATCGTTGTTATGAGGAATCAAATAGTAATTGTATCTATGTAGATTTATGTGTATAAATGTGATTGTACAGCTTCTTTTGGGGATGAAATCGTCGAAAAGATATCTTCGCCTAACTTCTTGTTCATTTTCTCACCATGTCCTGACAGGTATCTCCCATGATTATTAACAGAAATGCAAAGTGTGCTAGTGAAGTCTTACATATGTTAGACATTTTATAGCCTGTCAGTTTATCAGTGTTAGAAATACGCTTTAATGTTGTCAGACTGTAATTGTTTATATTTTGTTTTTCTGGGGGGTAGGGAGTTGTCTATACTTTAAACTCACTTTTGTCTCATGTGTAAAAAGTGTTCTTCTAATCGTATGTTTATCAAGTGGGAATAGATTTCGCTGAGTGAACTCAACTGTATTAGGGGAGTGAGTTACCCCCCCCTTTGGTTTGAACGTTAGTTAAGCTTTTTATGGTGTGTATCGCTTTTAGCTTACTTTGAACTTCATTCTCGTATCTATTGAGAATGCCTCTAAATGGAGCTATCCAGTTCAGCTTATGTTTGAGATTCTAATGTTGTCTTGCCCAGTGGGGAGCCCAATGGGGGCATCGTTTCCTCTGAATCCAAACATCGACGCGTGTAAATTAACTGTTGTAAATAATGTTCAGCTTATAACTTACTAAAATACATCAGATAAGCTGACTCTAAAGGAGGAACATGTAGGCGGAACGTACGAATGCACTGGCAGCCTCAAGTTTGGTATTTATGTCCTTCTATTCTCAAAACACCCTTTTAACTTGTCATAACTATTTCTTATGAAAACCTAGTGGTATTAACTTTTAGACTCTTTCAGAAAACTGACGCCCCCGACAATAAAACTTTTGCCAAGACTTACAAAAATGTAACTACGTTGAGGTTACCATATTAGCAAGTAATTCGTAGTCCCAGTGGCTGAACTATCAATGGGCGCTCTTCGTTACCTTAACGTCCCGGGATTCAGTCTGCGTTAGTGTCACTAATGCTCAGGTCAAAAGAGTCCCAAAATAGGATAAAACAGACATCCAATATCCCTGGTTTTTACGTCAGTGTTCCAGTGGTAGAATACCCACTGGCCTTGCGGATTTTCTGTGGTTAGATTCCTGGCCGATGCACTCCATTTAGCCTGGCATGGCTAGGAACCATCAAACGAAAGAACACTAACGTCAATGAAACCTCAGGATTTGGATCCCTATTTTCCACCTGCAACACAAGGAATGGGAAAAACAGAAAATCCCCATATGCTTTCATTTCTTTAAGTAAAATTCACATAAATCAATTAATTGTACATCATCAAACAGTCTTCAGTGATATTTATTTCTAATTTTAGTTAGTAATTAAAAATATGGAACGTTATTGTCGTTGTCATGGAACAAGTGGATCGTGTACTTTAAGAACATGTTATAGACGAACACCAAGAATGCGAACACTTGGCAACTTATTGAAGCATATTTATGAAAATGATTTAGTTCAAGTTAAACTAAGTAAGAGATTATTTTTTTCTTCGTTTTTGTTCTTTTCTGGTAAAACATTTCCAATTTTTTTATTCCTTCACGTTCCCAGCGGAACATAGAGCTTCAGGCTAGAGGCTTTAAGTTTCTTTAGCAGTGTTTATTTTTCACAGGATGGGGTCGCTAGCCTCATGCCCAACCTTTCCTCACTACCAGCGAGGTAAAGCGGTGCGTCGGTGGCTGGGGATCGAACCCCGGACCATGTGCATAGTCGGCGAGCGTCCTAACCGTTGTGCCACCAACTTAGTAATTTTGGTTTGAAGAACCTTTGGATTATGAATACATTTTAGTTGGTTATTTTAGTAAAATTACTAAGTGTAATAAACAGAAGATGGGTAGTGGCACTATTCTAGAAATATTTCAGGTCAAAGGTCAAATTAAAAATTACAATGTGTAATAATCAGGAAGATCGGGTAGACAACTCAAAATAGGATTATGACTACTGGAAAACTCGTCAGTTTGTATAATTACGGGTTAAGGACGTAGTATTAGGGAAATGGGTAGGAGGTTCGGATATATAAAAATAAAAACAATAACCAAGTCTAAAAATGCAGATAGGGATTTAGAAAGGTAAATATAACAAATAAACAGGAAGGTTGGACAAGAAAGGTAATAGGATAATTATTCTTGGTGAAACTGACTTTTTATGATGGCCACGGTAGGGACGATGGTTGAACGTATTTCTTTTGGACACATAGAGTAAACTTGAGTTTTTGGATCGCCTCACTCCCTTTGGTAGGTTGAATTGGATCTTGTATATGGCTTTAAAGGACTTTTCAAATGGGACTGAATGCCCGGAATTCACCAAATGTTCTGTCAACGAACTGTATGCCCTTTTGCGTTCCCGCACGCGTTTTACAAGCGGACGCATGGTACGGCCAATGTACTCAGCTCCACACGAGCAAATAAACTTGTACATGCATGTTGAAGTGGCTCAATGCAACAGCTTGTCTTTCACGTGTCGGGTGAGTAGTTTCTTTCAGGAGAATGTTATTCATAGACTGGTGGCGAAGTATGTTTTACTGAGAGACTTCGAAAGCCATCTATGGAGAATTTCTGCCTCGGTATCACTTTTAAATTCGAGGTTCAATATCAGCATCTTTCTGGGGGCGACTTGGACCTTTTCAGGTATTTTCCTTGGTTTTAGATTCTTGTCTCTGAATCTTGGTAGGAATCCATTTTCTATCACAGTCTCTCGAAGATTTTGTAATTCTTCCTCGATTGATTCTTCAGTCGAAATCTTCCGGATCCTCGAGGGAAGAGAGTATATTAGGTTTCTCTTTCTGCTTAGAGGCACACAACTTTGAAAGTTAATAAACTATCCGTTACATGTGGGCTTTTTTATGATGGATCTTCTCAGCGAGTTGTCGGCATTCTTTCGTAGTTGAACGCCAAGGAAATGAAACATTGGGTTAGACTCAACTTCCAGGGTGAAGTCGATGTCTGGGTGGGCGTTATTGGGGATTTGAAGTAGGTTTTTCTACATCACAATTCCTATCACAAATAATGAAAGTATCATCGATGTATCTCGTTCAATTTTATAAAAGTTGAATATTCGACTGGTTAAGGTAGGATGTTTGACTGTTTTACAACCTTCATCTTTTAGTCAGTCATTTATCGTAGTGAACATATACCATATTGTTACCAACTGATATCATTACGTAGTTTCTCTACAGTCTTTTTACGACTATCATGGTTCACAATAATAAGGCAAAATGTGCTTCATTTACTCAATTAGATGAAACTGAAGTACATACCAATAACCAGTCATACTGGTTACCGTGTGACTTAATAACCATTTACGTACATTTTCCTTCCAATGACATTGGAATATTGTACTGGATCTGCCTATAAATGTGTCATCCCAACTGCAAGTGTAATTGTAAATACACCGTGAAGCAAAGTCCACAGAATTTCTTCCTATAATCGCAGGTACAGGGATCGAAAATGTTTGAGATGTGAGGGAAAGAGATGCGGCGTAGAATGTGCGCTTTATAGCTGACCGAAGCCTCTGAAATGTCACTTGAACGATTTGACTACCATTGAATCGTAGTTTAATCAAGACAGCTTTCTTTGGTAGGAAAGGTGTCTTTTCAAGAGGCAGTCTGTCCTTTTCAGGATATCCACTAGCTAATAAAACTGAATGTGTGCACCGTAGCTTATCCATTAATGTATCACTCGTGCAAATTTTACGGGCCCTTAAAAGTAGGTAAGAACAAAACAGTTGAAATGCAGACAGTGTATACTCGATGTCTGCTTGCGAAATACGGACCACTTAATTGTTTCATCATCACTCCTGGTCGCTGAAATATCCAAGAAACCCAGATTATTACTATTATTACTGTTCAGTTGGAATTCCTAAGTCACTCAAATATTTGGATGAATATTTTCAAATAGAGTGGTGAAGTTTTCGGTCGATTCACTATTGTCACTAATAATAAATTTACCAAAGGAACCAAATGTTTCAATGTACCATATGAACAAATGAATCTTGTCGGGGACCCTTTTCAGCCGATGGACCAGTGAAAGTGAAGAAGCAAGAGGAAAATGTTTCATCCTAGTTCTTCGCTTTATACTTAACTAGAATGCAACAGCTTTCTAGTTCACTTTGGTTCTGAATAACTAATCCAGATACGGGCGGGATAAGTGAACTAGACTGCGAAACTGATCAATATCTCAAAAAATCAATCAGTCACCTATGGAGAACTAAGGCTCATTTTCGTTATTATTCAGTTCTTCTTGTATTTACCGTTCAACTTCACTGTGGCTAGTAATTAGTCATCATTTGGCAAAAATACACAGGCATTTTACATTTGCCTGAATCAACGTATCCAAAAATAGAAGTTGGAAAGCTTTGTTCATTGCTGCTTGTAATCATGATCGTAATAATAATTATTGTATTATATTTTTCTCAGGAATTAGTAAGTAGGAATTCTATTTGTTCGCTAATGACTGGCCAGAGGACGAAGTTGCCCGGAGCAGTTCTAGTGAGAAGTTGTGACCAGTGGGGTCTATCCAATCGGAAGTGAGGAAGGAGTTCCCACCGATGAAATTGGTTGGTGACCAAGCTAAAAGGACGAATTTGTAGAAGTTAGAATTAATGGGCCAGAGATTGAATCGGGTCCCAGTGGCTGAATGATATACTAGCTTGCTTCGTAACCAGAAGGTCATGGGTTCGAACCCCAATAGGGTGGGTGCGTACTGTCTGCCGATGATTACCAGACTAGGATGAAACAGCTCCCCAGTACTCTCTGGTTCTCTAACTGATATAGATCCGTGGTCTGACCTGAAATGTATATATATATATATATATATATATATATAAATCCCTTTTGTTCCGCTTAGATCATAGGGTTTCTAAAGCACGTTTCCATTTCACTCATCTCTCTCAGATTCTTCTTAGCTGGCTCTTTGATTTACCATTAGCTTACACCTCCTCCTTACACGATCTCCTTTATGTCACCCTAAGACGCCTAACTCTTCCTTTTCTTATTCGGATTCCATTCGACGGTTTGCAGGGTGCGTATTATCTCTCAAAGGTCTTCTCAAAGTATGCGCAGGCTGTCTCCATTTTTTCTGCATATTTTTTAGATGATAGGTGCTTGGCCGGTTCACTTAGTGGGCAGAGTTCATTGTTGCTATTCCTTTCTTTCCACCTTATCTTCAATACTGAGCGATAGAATGAATTTTGACCAGTTTTTATCACAAAACTGAAATGTCCTCATTTCTAATGTAGGATGACTAAGACAGTTGAATAATTAAGAAGTTTAGTGCTGTTATGAAGTGAAAACTACACTAAAAAAAGCAATATTCATGAAATTCCCCGCGAGCTTCATAAAAATAATTCCAATACTTGAGGAATCTGTTTCGAACGGAACCCTTAAATTACTTGTGTATGTCTACCATTCACTCGTTACCCAATTCTTATGAAATAATATTGTGATATTTTTCTTCCAATTCATTTGCGTTCCAAGTGGAAAACAGGGCTTCAAACTTTGAAGTTTCAGTAACTGTGTCGTTGTATTCATCCGCTATGAGGTTGTTAGTCTCACGCCCAACTTTCCCACTTTTCCGGGCTTGCTTATCAGATAGTAAATTAGATGAATTTCGGGTGTGCGTTGGCAAAGAGTCGAACCGACCCTCCCACATGGCTGGCCACGATTCTGACATAGAAACACCGATGCCATTATTGTGATTACCACCTGGCCCCTCAAACCGAAATAGGTGGTTGTCACCTCCTCCTGAAGCCTTCAAAGAAGTACTGCAGAATCAGAAGCTACGTTCCTGTGGTTGCCAGTGTTCAAAACAGTTGCATAGGCCATGCAATCGTTTCAGATTCTACAGTCCATGTACGTCACAATAGGTTTGGAATCAAGCTTTTCCAGCTTTTCTAGCTATGTAGACCTTCGTGTCTACCACTCGCGCTGTAAGCGCCAGATGTTAATATAATCCATTCTGATTTCGTGAGAAACATCCACACCGTGATGTGAGAGCAGTAAATGGGACTTTCCTCGGTCTCAAAGGCTGTAAAAGTGTAGTCACATGAGCGCATTTCGAAAAGAAGACGGAAGTCTAACTACCCTCGGTCATACCAGGTCGTTTATGGGGCTATTAATGGAAATGCCTTAGTAAAATCATGTTTCATGCACTACACATTCATATTACTAAAATTTATTATTATTGTTGTTGCTAATATTTTTCCTATTTTAGACTCTAACAGACTACGAAGGATTCGTAATTCCGATCTAGATGAGCAAGAGAAATATCTCTCAGTATCAAATAATATTCGACCATCGTATTCAGATAAAGCTATTAAATTTACACCGTATAAAAATAATTTCAATCAAAAATTGTCAACAATAAACAGCAACTATTATGCTCAAAAAAATAATAATATGAGAAAAGTTTCTAAAAAGTCAAACTTAATCATTGTACCTCAACTGTCAACGTCAATGAAACCCTATGGAAAGGCGGATAATTTCACCACCAGCCAATCACCACATTCATCACAGCTGGTTTATTATGAATCCGTTAACCAAAAGTTATTTTGTGATTCACATCCATCTTACCACATACTCGGCACTAAAGGTCGTCTGTGTAATTCCTCATCGACAGGTTTAAACAATTGTCGTCAGTTGTGCTGTGGTCGTGGTTTCATTACACATCATTATTATACAATGGAATCGTGCAATTGTAAGTTTATCTGGTGTTGTCGAGTGGAATGCCAACAGTGTTTAGTATTGAAAAAGGTGGAAACGTGTATTTAACTGAGCTTAACCAGTCAGTTTTCTTTAATAATCACATCGATTTCTCTCTCCCTCACTCAAAATATCTTTGTTTACACACTTCAAACTACTAAACAAAATTTAAGTAGTAGTATACTGTATCGAAGAAAATATACTTTTATACTTCAAGACTTATACACAAATTCTACCTCGAGCATTCAACATTGTTCAATATTCAATAGCCATTTGTTTAAAACAAAACACACTGATCATAAATGATAAATAATTGTAGATTCTTTTGATAATTCTCCTTATTATGTACACATGTCTAGCCTTACTCACCTGTTTATTTGTTTTAAAATTTATAATAATAATACTAATATTAATATCATTTAACAATGTATTTGTAAAGTTACCTTAAAGTTGCTAGCCAGTGACTGCACAGAACTGACAATATTAACACTCTGAATTAATTTAATATGAATTATGAATTTTTGTATTAAGCACCATGATTTATCTCATTATAACTGTTAAAAGCATTTTAATAATGCGAAAATCAATATATGCACATATCTACATTTATGCCTTCTGTGTTGTTTTTGTTTTTGGCAAATGGTAACCAGCAATGGATTCGAGGATGTGTGTGTCGACAGTTAAATGTACCTGCCGGCATTGCACTCGTTGAATGAGTGATGGTGTTCCCGCTGAGACGTGGAGGAAATCTACATCCTGGACTGCACTACTAGTCCCCATTAAGTGAAATAACATCATGTCGGGCATTGGTGAAGCGTCTATGATAGACACCAACATGTGACTGACTGGTTTCAACGTAGAACTCTGCACATATGTGCGGCGGTTCGAGCTGTCACACTCCCTCCATGAATCACACAAAGCAAGAGAAGAGAGTAAAGAGAGATGATAAACAGAAATATGAGGCGAAAAGAATAGTAATATGGAAGAACAATAGAATTTTATTTGACATTATGAATCACAAAGAATGAATGCATCTGCGCCAATAAGAACAATTTTGAGCCATATCATTAATTGTCTCCAGCCATTGGTTTTTATCGTCCCAAGGAACCCAAACAGGAAGCTTGCACCTCTCTACGTGACTAGCTTAAATTGACTGTTGTGGATTTCATTGACTGATGATGCCATGTTTTGGTTTGACCACCGCCGGCTCTTTCCCAACCTGCCCCTATATCAGCTAACATTGTTGGTCGAGGAAGGCGACCATCACCGCCTCGACTGATATAACTTCACAGCCTCGTCTATTAATTTCCCCTCCTTACCTAGCACTCGACCGAGGCCTAACCTCAATATTTCTCACCTTATTATACCACTTAACATACACTAGACACAGAACGCAGACACCTATGACCAAACGCTAACATCTTGTCGACAGAGACTCAACATTTTGCACAGACTCCATTTCTTCAAGCACAATACGCGTAGTTGCCATACTAAACTTGCATCTACAGACGTTGTTGCAAATGGCGTCCAGTACAGCATACTTACTCCTATCAAAGGAATCCTGAGGTGTAGACGAAGGGCTAAACAAAAAATGCTCTTCTAGTGACGGCGGAGATGTTATAATATCGCAGTCCACACCAACTAGAACTAAAAGGCTCTGGGGAACACACATGTTTGCTGCACTACATTCTTAAACTGGGTCTACTTGACTGGAATTTGCAAGGGATTCTGAGTACATTGAAATGGTACTATAACCTCACCTGCTAACTGCTTCTTCCACTACAGATCGCATGTTTTTAGGCGTCAATTGAATGTTGACTTCCGTCGTCTTAGGTCAAAGTTAACTGCAGCTGAATAATAACACAATTGTTAAATGCACTCACAGAGTCTCAAAATCTTTGGCTGGTAAGGTCTGATGTTAAGTGATGGTGTTTTGTCATTTATTTTGTTTAGTGGCTTAAAATAACTTGATGAAGAGCAGTTAAAAGTCATTTTGGCTGGAAACAAAAAAATGTTTAGTTGTGTCAAGAAATGGATCCTCTACCTCTATACGACAAATAAGCCTAATATGATCATTCAAATATACATTACTGTGATGTTTTAAAACACATACATGGAAGTAAACAACGAGCAATTACGAAAAACGGGAAAATAAGGAGGTTTGCCGCACACGCACCGCAGTGAGAACAGAAACTGTTGATTTGACCGCTCTGTTTGCAACATAAATTCCAATGCATTAAAAGACATCCTTCCAAAAGGCTTAGTAGGATGTATTGAGTATATCATGTGTACATTTCATTTAAAAGTTCAGTATAAGAACATATTGTTTAATTTTATGTATTATTATTGATAACTTAAGATTCTTTGTAACGCAATTTAGTAAAGTCAAATGTCATTGCTTAAAGACGTAGGGATGGGTAAATCCCACTGGTTGATTTCCAGCCATTGCACGTACATATAAGTGCCTTAAAGTTTCCACAATGCGTCCGAAGTCTGCCCCAAATTTTCTGCAGTGTGCCTGAAGTTGCTGTTGGCTTGATTATAAAACCATAGCTTGCAGTTACTACACTGTAACTCATCGTCCACGAGAAATAGCAGTCCGGTCATCCACAGTTACTGGTGAGACTCATGTCTGAATAAGTTTAAATTACACAGACAAATATATATATACAAAAACAGAATGATATAAAAGCCATACATAAAGTCAAAAAAGTGAGGAACAAACAATATTTCAAATAGTTAATTCATTTGAAGTAAACCAAAAAGGTCTGGTTTGATCCACACGACAAAAGCAGAAGTTACTTCACAAGGCAGAAGATACTACTCTCCAATTTTAACGTGCTTGCTTTTTTCTTTTAAACTACCACTCTTGTAGACAGAGTAAAATCTCAGGATGCATTCTTCACATTCATACCACGTCCTGTGAATCTGGTGTCAAAATAACTCATTGAATTCAGCGAGTGAATCTGCAGACACAACATTTATTTCACGTTACATAGTCGCCCATGCTGTTAGTCATGTCGCCGAACGACTAAAATGCTTCGACAAAATAACAATAGGGGCGAAACACCATGTAATAGACAATACAGGCAACTAGGCATCAAGCACGCCACGGCAAATTATAAATGAGAAGCAGAGCACAGATGTTGGTTGACATACTTTAACAATAATAGAAATCTCGGTACAAGGGTGACACTAAAGTTCAGATGAAGAGAGAGGGATAGGCTGTTGTTGTTCACTGATCTCTGTTTTCGGAACTAACGCCTTTCTTTTTCACGGTCCAAACCACCACACCACACCCTCGCTTCACAAAAGCTGTCCTTAGCTGCTTCTGTCTTGCGTTCTCCCTTCTATCATACCACGATCAAATTTCTTTCCCATAATAAAACTACGATTAGACTGCTGAAAAAATGGAATAAATACATCACTGACCTCAAAATAATGCATCAATTAACTTTAAATCAAGAATGCTGTTCACAACAAAGTTATATAGGAGAATTGACTTGAAGCTTTATTTTTCGCAGATATTTGTATTATATTCATCTGATGTCTGGGTTTTTTGTTAATGCGAAGACAACATTTCTAAATCTCTTTATGTGTTACACAGACAGACTATTTAGCGGACTGTTCCGACTGACTTTAATGTCAGAAAGAACAAACAAACTGTAAACTCACCATACATCCAAATATGTGTAATTTATATAATAACTTATCCATGCCTGTACAAATGGTATGTTGCTGCATAAACAGGAAATAAATAAATATATATTATTATAAAAGAAATAGACACCTGGTGTTTGTGACCATTAATAGAATGAAGATCGGTACGCGGCGCCTGTCAGTTTACTCTGAACCGTTTTAACCAGTCGAAATGCACTATCATACTCTCCTTATTATTATTCCCGTCTTCTTTTACTTCATACGTATTTTCTGTTGCTTTGCGGTTCACCACATATGAACCTGCTCATAATACTTAGGATTTACTCCGACCTCTGTTGTCGGTCCCCGACTGTCGCAGACACATTGTCACACATATCCAAGGGTGCTCCTCACCTCTTCGTACCGTAGTATTGGTTCTATCGCTATTGCTCTCTCTCAAGCTGTTCTCATGCATAATCGTTATACATGACCATATATCTCTCCAGTTTTACCACTATAATAATATATTTATTCCTATCTATGTAGGTTACACCAGATTTACAGGCATGGATAAGAATTATTTAAATTACATAAATTTTGTTCATGATGAGCTTACATGGTTGCTGTCCTTTCTGACTAATTTGTTGGGACAATCTGCTAGCTAGTCATTCAACGAAGCACTTTAAGAAATACAGGGATACCGTCTTTGCATTAACATAAAAACTTAAGCATATATTGGGTGGATAACAAATTCTCGGGAAAAAATAAAACTTGAAGTCAGTTCTCCCATATAACTTCGCTGAGTACGGCATTGAATCTTATTCTTGACTTATGCTCAAATGGTGTAGTAATTTAAAATGAGTAATATATTTGTATCATTTTCTCAGCATTGTAATCGTATGGCAATATCAGAAATGAATCGTGCCCCATGCAGATGAATATCGTCCATAGTCAGGCAGACTTGTTTTACTGAGCTAAGGTCACCCAATACGGCCATTTGTAGCTGTTTAATGTTCTGTACGGGAAAGCTGATTAAGACGTAAAGAACACTTTGCAAACCAGTTGCATCTTTATTTCAGGTCACTGACACTATGCTCGTGTAGTATGTTATACAGCGCCCTGATGTTATGACACGAGAGTTTTTAATGATGAGTTGTTATGAGACAACAGCTTGAAGGATGATGTGGTATGTATAGGTTAGTGGCTTCAAGTCCTGTTTAACTTTAGCCTTGCGGTAGGTCTGTGTAAATTCCACCACAAGGCAAATAGAGGAGAAGAGGAGAGCATTAAAGTACCAGAGAGGAAAGAAAAGTATGTGGACATTGATAGAACCTTAACGTCCGCATCCATATATACATATGTGTTTATGTTCATTGTACATTGCCTGGCAAACGTATATATTTATTTATATATCTATGCGGCTAGTCTGTTTATCGTGTATGCGGAGTAGTTAGGGAATTTTTACACGTTCTGTAGGTACTACAGGAACCCTGTAATCGATTCATCCTAGAAATAAATAGTTCGCTAATGTGGTCAATGGAATGGAAGAGTCTGTACACAGAGCGTCTGAAACTTATAAATGAGGTGCAAGTTCTGACTTCTAGGGGCAGGCTGTTCCATATTTTAGAATATATGACTGTGAAGAAGTTTTCGCGGAGTGTTGGTTTAAAGGGTTTTATTGTCACTGTGCAAGTTTGGTCACGCAGATCGTAAGGGCCTTGCGGTGGGAACTGTATTTCCTCGCCATCTGAGAATGAAATTTCATGTAGGACCTTTAAGAAGAATATTGGGCTTACAATAAGTTGTCTGGTCCGAGGTGGATCAAGATTTAGAGTCATACCCCGTGAAGTATAGTCTTTCCTACAATCGTACCGAAGTAGTTTGGACGTGAAATATAGTTGAATACTTTCCAGTTTGGGGCACATTGAAGCAGATTCAGCCACATTTCCTGAAATTG